CCCCTGACATTCTGTGATTCTGTGAACCAACCTCTTCCATCAGAAGCATCACTCAGCTTTCTGTTGGCGTGCCGACTTGAAGGATTCAACATAGTGACATAGCCACAAAAGTGCTGCAAGTCTACTTTGTTTCTCAGTATTTTCAAAGCCGTATGAATGCCCATGTTCACACGAGAGAAGTCTAGTAGAAAACAACACATATTGCAGCTTACTGTACAAGAAATCTCCTCCATAACAATATAGTTCATCTCTAGGGCAGGCTAAGCTTTTTAATCCAGATTTTTCTCTCTTATAATGCTCCACCTTAGTGATCACGCTGGCAGATCTGGGATAGCACGCAAATGAGCACAGTCTTCCCACACTAAGCACTAACTGGTATTTCATAGTGTAGTAGAAGAGCCAAGGAGAAACAAAAATGCAAACAGATGATGGTCTCTCCCCCTGACACACAGACACATACAGAGAGCAGAGATGGCTTCCCACTCAGCTAGGAATCAGATGTCCAGCTCTTTCAGTGCTGGTGTCTTTCATGGCAAATTCAATACAAGATATATGTTTCCACATATCTGAAATTCTGAAGAATCAGAATGGAGTATTAGAGTTTAATAAAGAGTTTCAACATTGAGTTGCTCATGCTAGCAGCTAGAGATTCCGCCTTCAAGATTTCTTGCCTAGCATCAAGTAAGAAGAGACATCCTAGACAGAGTGATTATAAAAGTAACTCATTCTGAACCTAGTAAAAACTAAATTAGGAAGCTAGCTCTACTTCCAGTTGGCCCAGGTATTTTTAATAGGTAGCTTAGATAATTTTATATTTCATACTTGGAAATTCATACACTTATGACAGCTTTCAGTTGAGAAGGCTATGGCCTCAACTAAGCAAAGTTTGTGTTCTACTCACAAAGGAATACTTTGGAACATGTTAATTCCCACCTTTCAGAATCAGTTAAGCTAGGCAGTCTTTGAAGAAACAGAAGATTTTGCTAGCAAAGCTATTCTTGTGTAAAAAATTCCATTGTATTTCCTAGTGCTATTAATCAAGGTAAGTTTGTTTAGTTTTGGTCCCATCTATCTTTCACTTAAGAGATGCTGAATAAAATATAGAGGAGATTTATTTACACAGTTTATAAATATTCTAGTTAATAAGCAAGTATACATAAAGAAAGATCCAGAGGTCTTTATAGAAGTTACTTCTTTACATCTGTGCCAGGAGAAAAGACAGGTGAGAAAATACATTTGAATTAGGACAAAAATAGAAAGGAGAAGACCATATCTCTAAGCTCAGAAGAGACTTGTCAACCATTTAAACAGTCTTTCAATTTTCTCATCTAACGACTTTTAAGTCCAAGAAAATTTGTATTAAAAGAGTTATCGCAACCCTACTACAAAAGGCAACACGCAAGAAAAATACAGTGGTGTAGAGTCAGTTACCTCCTTGTTGCTCAGCTTCATCAAATGGGAAAGGTATGTGCACAATTTCTCCCATTCCATGCATGCCATGCCCCTGAACATCAAGACATTTAATTAGAAACAGAAAAATATACTCATAGATATACACTTATATATATAATACACACTTAGCACTACTTGTGCTCCCTTTTAAGGAGAACCAGTCAAATAAGCAGACTGATATTTATACACTGAAATTCTTGTTTAGCTGAAGCAATTAAACAGAATACCCCACTCTTCCCCCTAAAATGCATGTGAACAAACACAATTAAAAACTTCAGTGAAGAGGGGCAATTTTGCTCTCATATTACTGGTTACAATTAGATTTCCTAATCACTGAGCATTTCTGGGGCAAAATGGAGTTTCCACCACTAAATACAGAACATTTTTCAGCAGACACGTCTGTCAGAAGTGGGCCTCTTAGAATGTGTAACTTTATGTTTGTCACTATTGTCACTGTAGAGCATGTTTTGCTCTAACTGTAAGAGCTAAACACCAAGCACTCTGAAAAAGCACATTTCTTGATTAACAGTTCTTACTCCTCACAGCTACCTTATACCACTGCTGTCTAGAAAGCTGTGGGCTCTTCGCTTTCATTCCAGTTGTCTATAACCCCGACACTCTCATAAACCCGCATCTCATTTCCAGCTAGCAAAACTTTGTTATGTCTGCCCATAATACAATAACACATACATGATACGCATTCAGTTCAAAGGTCATGTCTTGACCACCCCTGAATCACAGCAGCACTGACCAGAGAAGTTGATAGTATTTTTCAGCAAAAAAAGCATAGCTCTCCTACATTGTTAACGTCCTCTACCATGTAACAGTTTAACACAAAAAATTATGCATGTTTTCATCATTTATACAGAGCGCTCTGTACCTGAATTAGAACAGCAGAATGCGTCAAAGCATCATTCAACATCGTGAGCACATTTGAAGTAGGAACTACTCCTGGGTCATGGCCCCAAGATGTTATTAGTAAGCGATCATAACCCTAGAAGAGAGAAGTTAAAGAGTATTTATGGTAGTAAAGCAGTACACAAGTACATAAAGTGAAATATAAAAGTCAGGCATTAGCGTGGTGTTACCATCAGGAAGTTAGCACAGGTAACTACAACTCTGCAGTGTTATACTTTGTAGCAAGAATCACACTCATGTTCATATTCCTGGTAAAGACAGAAGTTTGACAACCTCAAAGTTAAGACTCTGTTTTGAACAGGAGGTATCTGTCACCAATTCCTGTAGAGCTATCTCATCGTAGCAGCCTCTTAGCAAATAGGAGATTAAAGTAATCCCATATAAATTTAAAAGCAAAAATATCAACTAGGTAAACTACCACTGTCAGAGAATAAAAGATGTATCAATCCCTAAAATATCTATCCAAGGGGGAGAGACAGGAAGACAATAACACCAACTAGGAAATAATTTCCTAGTCCCTCAGTTTTCAAGACTAAATTCTCCTTCATCTCCATAACATTTCTAGAAACATCTTGACAGCTCCCCAAGAAAACATCACTGCAACACAGTAGCAGAAATATTTACATAAGCACACAGAGGTAAAAAGCTCCAACAAGTTTGTGATGGTGCAGAATGTGAGATCATCTAGTACAAGAAAACCTGACTTATCTGTACACTGAGATTCAAGAGGTATTGAAGTTTTCCAAGGCTACCACACTAAATGCTTTTTACTAATAAAAGTGCATCACCCACACATTTACTGGCAGTTTAAACTAATGACGAACTATGGTTTGAATCAAACTCATGATCAATGGTCTTACAAAACGCCTTCTGCTCTAGGAACCTGAATTCACTTAATCCTCTGCCATCTTAAAGTCTTAAAAATAGAGCTATCTACAAAATTTTTGAAATCAGGAAGGGAAGGGACACATGAAAGAGGTTTGAGGAACAAAAAAATACATCTGCAGATCCTAGATCCAGAGATGACTACTGATGGAGGTACACCAAGGAATGCATATCCCTCTCGGAATGTCTCCAAACCATTCTAATACATTCATCTGCCCGAGTACTCAGAATAACGAGATGAAAACTGTAGAGGCCTCCCCGCAATTATAAATTTGACCAATAGTATTTTACAAATACCATTGCGAGCAGCAAGACTCAAACACTAATTTGAAATGCCGCAGAGCCTTAGTAAAGTCAACAGATACGATGATTTTCGGTTCAGGCAAGTTTAGAAGTTTCTATGGCCACTTCCACCTAGGTGTGCCCAGTATACAACTAGAACACCTAAAAGCATTCCTCTGTGGCACATTGTCCTTACTAGCACCTCAGTGGCAGAATCAGAGGAGGCAGCATCTGAAGTCTTTCAGGCACAAGATCACCTGCCCTGTTTTGTGGGACTCCTTGCCAAATTACTGTATGAATGCTACAAAGTTAGGTGGGTTCAAGGCTTGAAGGTATTTGTGAGAGCAACCGATCACTAGAGACAAGAATCCCAGTCACAACCACAAAATCACGAACAGCTTGGGAAGTTCCAGAACAAAACATGCTGAAGGCTGAAACAGTCGCAAGAGGAAATATTATGTATCGTGCCTATTCTTCGTACTCTCATCCACCGCTAGAGAAAGGCTACTAGGCTAAGAAGAGGTTTAGTCCAACCTATTGCAAATTTTATTTGCTTATTTAAACTGCAGGGAAAATTACAGCTTAGAACTTTAAAAGTCTCTGTGACAGATTTCTATAGTGGTCAAACTGGAAGTGACCAGCTTTACTATCTTCTAAACCAGTCAAAGTTATATGTAGAGGTGTCCTTTCTTGTATGACACTGGACAAGGCACAATATACTAGGTCTCTATCTTTTGATACAGCTCTTCTAGGGGGCCGGTTAGCTCAGTGGTTTGAGCGCAGTGCTGGCAACAACGGCCAACACCAAGGTCGCGGGTTTGATTCCCGCTTGGTCCCCATGTGTTGTTTGGTCTAGTCGAGAGGTGGCATCACTGCCCATGACAGGGAGGTTGGACTAGATGATCTCTAAGGTCCCTTCCAGCCTAGGCCATTCTATGATTCTACATCTTTGTAACGCACTTTAGAGATGGGCTTACAAATTTAAATTCACAATATCACATTTCACACTCAAATTGAAACGCATTGGAGACATGTGACAACAGAGACATAAGCAGCATTCGTTTTTCAGAACCTAGAAAGAAAACAAATCAAGATGCTGCATAAAACTTGCTTCTAGGAAAGGTACACTGTCTGCAACAAACTGTATCTCTGACTTCAACTGTTACCCCCCTAAGCAGCTTACAGCAGATCTTTGAAATCTTTGGAGAAGGGAGGGAGAATAAATCCCTGCATACACTACCTGAAAAATATCTGGAAGTTTTCGAAGACGTGTTCCTTTAGAGAGCAACAGAGAGGGCGGTCCTTGTCCAGTTATATGATAAATATACAGTTTGAACCAAACTGAACTGACTTCTGGTATTGCAGGTCCAATATGCTGAAGTGAGATTATTCAAGAAATTAGGAAGAACTTAGTATTGCAAACGTTACATGTACAGATATTGAAGAATCAACAATTTCAAAGAAATATAAATCTAGTCCTGCAGCACAGGAGTTCAAACATTACTCTGCTATCGACGCTTTTCTAGGTACTTAGTCCTGTATTGCAAGACTCCCTACAGAAAGGTGACAGTAAGGTATTTCCTATGAATAGAAATTCAAGAACAAAATATCTGTCATTGACTCTACTTGAACAAACAAATTGTTAATAAGTTAAACAATTTGCTAAGTAATTAGGTTTTTCCCCACTAAGCATGTTTTTTTATATTAATTGCAATACCATTCTACATGCCAATAACTGAATCACTTTAGAAGGGACATCAGACAGTTGTATCTAAAGCCAAGTTATTAAGAAGATATTACTAGATACTGGGGGGAGAAAATCCCCAGTGTTTTTTCACCTGGGGTGTACAGCTGCTAATAGGTCGAATTTCATTGGTGAGTGGTGCCATGGAAACGAGCAGAGTATAGTTTTTGTTGAGAACTCTGCTGCAGGTAGCTGGATCCAAGCCGAGCAAACTCTCACATCGTAAGAGGTCCAAGGGAAACCCTATGTTGAAAAAAGTAAGATTCTTGATATCATCACTTATGATGGAACATACAACCCAAAATGTGATTTCACCTTTTCCATTCTCCCCAGTGAAGTCATGAATAAAATATTTTTCACAACTAAGTTTTAAATTGTTGTGGTGAATTCTAATAAATTTATACACAATTTTAGCAACTCTCGTCATATATGTCCTTGTGTACCACAGGACTACAGCTTGCTCCTCGCCAGCTAACTGATCCCAGGAAAAGTACTAGAGAGATACTAAGGAAGTTATAATTTTTTTTTCTAAAGAAAATAAAAATCTCCCCCCATTAGAAGAATACTCTCCCTTTTATGACTTGAAAAATATTTCTTTGACACAACAAATCTGAATAAACAATGACTCCTTTATTATGGCATTCAGAAGCACGTTTGAAACAGATCTCTTCTTCAAGTTCGGCTTTGCCTTGGCATCATTATCCTTTTATCTGTTGCTTTGAACATTATGTCTGAGCCTTGGCAACCAAATCTGTCATTCAAAAGGCAAACCCAGTAAGACAGGCTCCAAGGACGATAAAAATAGTGACATTTTGGCTTTAAAATATTTTCAAACAAGTAGGATACAGATTGCTTTCTGAAATAGCGGTTTAATCAGAAAGCAGAGTCCACGGCAGGTAAGTAAACAAACTTAGACGGATTTCCTCAAAAGCATTCACAGTACCATTGTTTGGTTGATCAGACTGTACAGCTTGTGCCCCCAAGTCTTTATTATGTCGCAAAAACAGTATTGTGTTCCTCAGGGTAAGTGCATGATCGAAGTACCGCTGTGCTTCCCCTTCACCTGTGCTTTGAACCTGAACAAGAAACAAACAAGTGCCCACAAGTGGCAGCTTATTCCCACAAGCATCAATTACACAAAAGGAAAGATGAACAAATTAGCATTTTAAAACTTTGTCATGAGTAACGACCCTGCAGCTTACGTGAAAAGGTGATCTACAGCAATCATTAAATGAAAACTTAATCTTGGCCGTATTAGTCAAACTATGCCAGTCAAATCGTCAAAAAGTACACAAAGACAACGTCATCTGTAAATCAGAACTACAAGTCAGTCTTTAGGTAAAAGGACTTAAATGTCCAGTCATCCTGACTGGCATAAAAATGACACAGCAATTAGCAGCAGTCCTCCTACATAGTTCTACAGTTCTCTTTCCAGAATTACCCTTAAAAAGTTAATAGATTAAACATTCCAGCACATAATGGTCAAATTTTCATATGACTTTTAGAAGTATTAACACCTTAATAAAAGGAAAGTGATTTCCTTTGACCAAGCTCTAACGCAGGGCTGTGAACACACACTCAAGCAAATGTAGTTCACGATCTCACCGCGCTCACCAGACTCACCACACACCACGTGTCCCTGTAAGTCGCTAGAGGTATAAATGCTGTGAATAAGAAACATTTTAATTGAACCACTTAGGTCTGGCATGATAAGGTGCTTGTTCTTACCACTGTATTGCTAAATAAGAAGTTTTAAGTAATGAAAATACCAGGAGATTTTAGCTCCTGTAACCTTCAAGTGAAGTCTTTGGTCAAATATGTAACAGATTACCTTTTCCAGCTCCACCAAGAAGCTGTCAAGACTCTCATCTGACAGTTTCCCAACTTCAAACATAGTGACCGCATGACTTTTCAAGTTCTGCAACAACAAAACAAAACTGTCTTAAATTCTTCGAGAACAGAATGGCCAAGTAAGTCCTATTAAGCAAAAACATTTCTTAACCACAAAGAATCACAGAATATTCAGAGTTAGAAGCAACCTAGAAATATCACCTACAGAAGTTTTGAGGTTTTTAAAAATAATTATAGTTTTATTATATCAAAGTCGAAGTTTATATTTTTTTATGGAATAAATAAATATTACTCTAGGTATTTATTCTTGGAATAATATATTGAACGATTTTGACATACTGGTGAAAGATTTCCCATCATTAAAAAGGCAGTGAGAGTAGAATCAAACAGGAAGGCAATACGCTTTGTGTGTCCACCAGACAGATTCAGGCTGCTCACGCTGGCTGTTTCAGCTAATAGAGAACAAAAAGAAAATACATGATCATGTTTTGTTTTATTTAAAAATGAAATCATCAAGCTAAGTCAACTCTATTTAAAAAAGGAAGAAGAAACTGAAAAATGTTTGTTATTGCCATACTGAGTAGAGCAGCATTCCCTTGTCACTGCTAAACACTTCCTTGGGACAGGCCCAACAGGGAGACAGCGCACATGGCACGGGGGATTCCCTGTCCTCTCCCCACCTGGCTGAACACAGTGACCCAAAGGACAGGGGACAACAGCAGCAAATTCCTGCCCAGCACAGAAGATAAGTCTCCTCTGCAACTACCCCATCCTCCCAGACGTCCTCGCATAACAGACATGAGGCTCTGTGAGTGAGGCTAAAAGATAAGGATGATGGCTCACCCTGCTTGGAGGTGTTGGCAAGATTAAGTCGGGCATCAAAACTGCTTCCACAAAGTCAAAAAGATGGGATATTGTCACAGGAAGCTCCCTTCCGAATGGAACAGAAAGGCCAAGCCCACTTCTTAATGAAGTTGCTGCCTCCTTGGGGCACGGGTTAAAGACACGAAGCACAAACTCACTACTGTAGTATAGCCCTTGAATTACTATCCATTTTTTATTTTTTAGGTGAGCAGTGACGAAATTGCAACCAGAAATTCAAGGGCAATCAAGGGAGACTTCAGGACATTGGGACAAGGAATCAGGAGCACAAGCAGCGCTCTCCTCTATCCCTCCAGTTACAGGGAAAGACAAGGTAAGTAACAGGAAGAGCCAACAAATCAATACCTGGCTCCAAGCCTGGTGTCACCAGCAGAATTTTGGGGTTTTTGATCATGGGTCAGTTTATATAACATCAGGGCTGTTTGCAAGAGACAGAGTAAGAATGTAGCAGAAGGGGAAAAGGATCTTTGCACAAGAGTTATCACGATTTATTTGAAAGAGCTTTAAACTAGACCTGAAGGCAGAAGGGATAAAATCAAGCTTGATGAAGATAAGCCTAGGAGAGGCACACCAGTGTTTGAGGGATGGTGTTCTACCAAGGTCCTTCAGTCTGCTGTGTCAATGGAGGCAGAAGATGGAGAGACACGTGGCAGTACAGATGAAAGGGTCAGTCTGTCAGAAATCACAGAAATGCCGGAGAATGGTCATGTAGGGGTGAGGACTTCTGCCCCCCAAAAGGTGGCAGGATTAATAACCTATCTGAAGCGCATCTCCACCAATGCACACAGCACAGGCAACAAACAGGAGCTGGAAGCCACCATCCAACAAGAAAACTAGGGCATAGTTGTCATTACGGAAACACGGTGGGATGACTCACACAACCGGGGTGCTGCACTGGATGGCCAGAAACTCTTCGGAAGTGACAGAGGAGTAAGGGCAGGCAGTGGGATAGCCCTGTATGCTGGGGAGTGTCATGACTATCTAGAGATTAATGACGGTGACAACAGAGTTGAGTGTTTATGGGTAAGAATCAGGGGGAAGGCCAACAAGGCATGGTAGGTGTTTGTTACAGACTGCCCAACCGGGATGAAGAGGCCGATGAAATATTCTACAAGTAGGTGAGGGGAATCTCTCAATTTCTAGCCCTCATTCTCACAGGAGACTTCAAACTTGCAGATGTCTGCAGGAAATACAACACAGTAGAGAGGAAACAGTCCAAGAGGTTCCTGGAGCATGTGGAAGAGAAGTTCCTCACACAGCTGGTGAGTGAGCCAACCAGGGCAGGCACTCGGCTGGACCTGATGTCTGTGAACAGAGAAGATCTTGTGAGTGATGGGACAGCTGGAGGCCATCTTTGGCATAGAGGACACAAAATGATAGAGTTCTCAGTTCTCCGAAAAGTTAAGAAGAGGGGGTAGCAGAACTGCTGCCTTAAACTTCCAGAGGGCAGACTTTAACTTATTGAGGAGCCAGGCTGACAAGTCCCTTGAGAAGCATTCCTGAAGGACAAAGGAGTCCAGGAAGGCTGGACATTCTTCAAAGAGATCTTTAAGGTGCAGGATCAAGCTGTCTCCACACAGCAGTAGATGAGCCAGCAGGGAAGACCACTGGCCTGGCTAAACAGGGAGCTTTTGCTGGATCTCAGGGAAAAGGGGAAAAAAAAAAAAAAAAAAAAAAGAGTTTACAACCTTTGGAAGAAGGGACAGGCAACTCTCAGATTACAAGTATGTTACGATGTTACATACAAGGATGTTATGTGAGGTTATGCAGGAAGAAAATTAGAAGGCATAAAGCACAGATAGAATTTAAATTGGCCACTGCTATAGAAGACAATTAAAAATGTTTCTATACATTAGCAACAAAAGGAGGGCTAAGGAGAATCTCCATCCTTTATTGGATGTAGGGGGAAACACAGTGACAAAGGATGAGGAAACAGCTAAGGTACTTAATGCCTTCTCTGCTTTGGTCTTCAATTCTAAGATCAGGTGTTCTTCAGGTACCCAGTCCTCCAAGCCAGAAGACAAGGAATAGAATGAAGCTCCCATAATCCAAGAGGAAATGGTTAATGACCTGCTGCTCCACTTCAATGTATACACGTCTATGGGGCCAGATGGGATCCATCCAAGGGTACCAAGGGAGCCAGCAGAAGCACTCATCAAATCATCTTCCATCCTTTACCAGCAGTTCTGGCTAACCATGGAGGTCCCAGTGGACTGGAGGTTACCAAATGCGATGCCCATCTACAAGAAGAGCCAGAAGGAGGATGTGGGGAGCTACAGGTCTGCCAGTCTGACCTCAGTGCTGTGAAAGGTTATGGAGCAGATCAGCTTGAGTGTCACCACAAGACACAGACAGGACAAACAGGTCACCAGGCACAGCCAGCAGGGTTTTATGAAAGGCAGATCCTGCTTGACAAACTTGATCTCCTTCTATGAGAAGGTGACTTGCTCAGTGGATGAGAGAAAGGCTGCACATATTGTCTACCTGGACTTTAGTAAAGCCTTTGGCATCGCTTCCCACAGCATTCTCCTGGAGAAACTGGCTGCTCATGACTTGGATGGGCATACACTTCACTCGGGCTGGATGGCCAGAGCCAAAGAGTGGTGGTGAATGGAGTTAAATCCAGTTGGTGGCCAGTCACGAGCAGTGTTCCCCAGCGATCAGTCCTGGGGCCAGTTCTGTTTAATATCTTTATCAGTGATCTGGATAAGTGGGCTGAGTGCATCCTCCTTTGTGGACAACACCAAGTTGGGCAGAAACACAGAGGGACCTGGACAGGCTGGATTGATGGGCCCAGGCCAGTTGTATGAGGTTCAACAAGGCCAAATGCCAGGTCCTGCACTTGGGTCAAAACGACCCAAGGCAGTGCTACAGTCTTGGGGAAGAGTGGCTGGAGAGCTGCCTGGCAGAAAATAACCTCGGGGGTGTTGGTGGACAGCTGACTGAACATGAGCCAGCAGCGTGTCCAGGTGGCCAAGAAGGCCAACTATCAGAAAGAGTGCGACCAGCAAGAATAGAGAAGCGATTGTCTCCCTGTACTCAGCACTAGTAAGGCCACATCTCAAACTCTGCGTTGAGTTTTGGGTCCCTCACTACAAGAAGGACATTGTGGTGCTGGAGCATGTCCAAAGAAGGGCAACAAAGATGGTGAAGGGTCTAGAGCACAAGTCTTATGAAGAACAGCTGAGGGAACTAGAGTTGTTTACCTTGGGGAAAAGGAGGCTCAGGGGAGACCTTAACATTCTCTTCAATTACCTGAAATGAAGCTGTACTGAGGTGAGGGTCAAACTCTTCTCTCAAGTAACAAGCAATAGGACAAAAGGAAATTGTCCAAGTTGTGCCGCAGGTAGCTTAGATTAGATATTAAGAGAAACTTACTGAAAAAATGTTGTCAAGCATTGAAACAAGTTGCCCAGGAAGTAGCAGAGTCACCAGCCCTGGAAGTATTTAAAAGATGTGTAGATGAGGTGCTCTGGGACATGACTTAGTGGTGGACCTGGCACTGCTAGGTTAATGGTTGGACTCAGTAACTGCAAAGGTCTTTTCAACTGTAAAGATTCTATGACTCTATAACATGCTGATTGACTTAGTTCAGATTTGGTGCCTTGCATCAACTGTATCTATAATACATATCAGCCTCACCTTCAGAAAAAAGCTGTCTGACTATTGAATTTTAAACCAAGAAGTAGATCATCTCCCCCACTGTATATTCCATGTGAAATAAAAAAGGATCTACACAATCTGTATTTTACTTGTTTCTAGGCCCCTTTACAGCCTATGGCACTCTAGAAATATAAAAATAATTGATCCTAAGGTATTATAATTTACTGTTTGTGCTAACCTGGATCATCTTGACTGTTGGTATCTGTATCTGTGGCTGATGACCCAGCTTCCTGTATAGGACTTCTGTTTTCCCCACTGTCCCATGAAAGCAGCATCTTTTGAGGGTCCAAAGTACTCCTATTAATGTGAATTAAAACCCACATCTATCGGTCACTGTAGCACCAGAGAAGAATCTCTGCCTTCCAGTGCTAATAGTCTATGCATATGCGTACCCAATAAATGCCTTTCACCAGTCAAGCTTGATGTCTCTCAGAGTCCTGCTTTAGCTTCAGCAGAAAAGTTTATCCAAGGGTTTGAAAATATCAGATTTTGAAAAAGAGATAAAAAAAAAAACACACCAAACCACCATCACTGAAGAATCCAATAGGAAAAAAAAAACAACAAAAACCCAAAAAATTCATTTTGTTTTCACAGTCTGAATTAGCATTAAAGAAAATACAGGCACAGCGTTCATTTTAAATAGCTTAATGGAGATTGAACTAGAAGTGCCTGACAAATCTTAATTAATGTAACTTGGCATTTCAACTTGGAGAATCCATTGGTTGACTGGTATTAACATCACTTTCCCAGGACTTGATACAGATATACAAAGGGGTGAGAGTTTCAGCGACGGAACTGCAATGGTACCTGACAGCAAGCAAGCTTTTTGTATGTATCTACTCATAGCAGTGCCAAGAGACATTGTGTCTGTACTAGCACAGTAACAGCTGTTATTTCTGGCCCCAGGAGTCGAAAGAAAATGTATGCTTGTCTGCTTCAAAAGTGAGCAACTAGGCATTTAAAGGTCAAAAAGTCAGCACTAAGTAACAGCAACAAAAGCAGTACATTCAATTTACAGGCTAAATTACCAGCCCTTATTCTCTGATTAAAAAGAGGATCAAGTATTCTTGTCATTATACACATTCGAAAGCAAAGTGAGATTCACTGTTGCAGAAGTCCAAGAAAGCAACCAATGGCTTTACAACCAGATTTTGGTTCTAAGTGTTTTCTTCAAAGCGAAAAACAAGTCTCATGAAAGAATGAAGACACTTACTTCAGTCTGTTTATTGAAGGAACATTCTTCCATGATGGATGAAGATTATCCAGGTTTATTACTTGGCCTTTTTTATGAGCAAAGCCTAACCGGCAATACATGGACACAGCATTCTGAAGAAACACACATACACGTAAATAAGCAACTGCTGCGGGAAACCAGGTCGCAAGACAGTGAACTTTCCACATCCAGTTCAACAGAAGCATTGTACACACATACCTTTACTAGAGACAAGTCAATCTCTAGGACATTTGCAAGCTAGGACGGAAAAAAAAAAAAAAGAATAATCATCAATACAGTATTAACAATGGAGGGTAATTCACCATTTGTGAGCTTCAGCATCCTTTTGTTGGTTTTCTCTTTTTTTAAACTCAGCCTGTAGTGGTAGATGTAATTCTATCTTCATCAAAAGTGATGAAAAAAGGGGACAAAGTCTCATAATTGTCCTGTTTGAAAGCATGTAAAAAGTACGAGGTTTTCTTCCACTGTGCGATGTCTAGGTTAAATCACGTGTATCATTTCTAAGTTAATAGTGTATATCAGAAGACACAGAAAGAGGAAAACAAATCTTGGATATATTTATACGTGTACTTTTCAGGTAATTATTCAGCAAGTGTTGAGAATAAGTCCTTACGAAAGCATACTTCTCATATTAAAATCATACTAAGGCAAAAGTTACACTCCTACTTTAAGCCAACATCCTGCATGTTTTCACCGCCAAAGATAAAAATTACTTTGGTTTGTTATTTCACTCTAGCAAAACAGATTCCTATATAAAATAGTCTACATTAGACACCTCTGTATAAATTCATTCTAGCAGATGGAATTGTTTCACTGAATTGAAGCACTATAAAAGTTACATTCAGGATAAAAGAAAGAGATTGAATGTTAAGCCTGGTGACACCACTAAATAAAATCTCTTGGTATGAACACATATCTCTGCCTTAAATATTTTCAGCAGTATGCTTTGGGCCCTTTCAAGCATTCCTATCTCCCTGACAGGGGGTAAGCTTTACTTACCTCTGCCACATTAGTATGCTCATCTATTGAAACAAATATCTTGTACAGGAGTGTTTCAAAGTAATCACCTTGCACTCTGTTCATCACAAAACCTTCAAGTGGTGGCACTAAAAAGGAGAATTGCTTGCAAAATTACAACTTGATAACTTCGTTAAGCTGCATAATAAATAAAACTACTCGTATTTAGTTTTCATGGTACCTGTATTTTTGAGATTTCCCAGTCACAAAGAATAAAAGCCTAAAGACAGTATACATTATATTTAAAATTTGCCCACTCCTTAAGAAAAAATAAAGGGTGTGTCTCACATCATAGCCTTGCAGTCCCCAGATGATCCACAACAGATAATTTCCAGTCATCCAGCCATAAAATTATTTTCTAATGTGGGTGGAGATTAAATCACGGCTCTGATTAGAGTGAGATACAAAAAAAATCCCACCTCATCTACACACTCCAGAGCGGAGACTCCCAAAGCTATTACCTAAGCAGGATGTCTCTTCATTTAGAGGACTTTCACTTAACTGATCGCTACTGACAGGTACTTCTGCATGATCAGGTTCCAAACAATTCATGTCTTTGCAGATTACACTGAATTCAGAAACCCCCGAGACCTATCACAGCATAATGAGTTGTTCAAAGGGCAGCCATATGCTGTGCCAGTTTAAGCTCCTACACAGTCCCCAGACACAGTGCATGACTAGAATTGAGGTAACAAGACCATGAAGGATGGAACTGATACCTATAAAAAAAGTTGCATCTGTCTAGAAGTCAAAATCCCACATCCTTTTGCTAAGGCAACTACATTTCTCTGTGCTAGTCTTCCTTTTCATTACAGACATACAGCAGGATATTCATGCCATGCCTCTCTAAAAGAATATCATCTTACCTAAGTATGTATACAAAACAACCCAAGAACTCAAGTTGAAATAAATCCTATATACAACAAAAACATTATTTTAATAGGGTTGAAAACATTCAGGCAGGAAGAATTTTCATAGCTCAACTGTTTTGTTTCAGCAAACTCACACACATAGACAAGCAGCTTCCAAGACAGAGAACTACAGGATAATTGCAATGAAACCAAGAAAACACAGGTCGAATGCCATTATTTACTTACCTGCTATACAGCTGTCATCTGATATTGGTACATCAAGGTAAATAAATCCTTTGTTATATAAACCTTTGTAAATAAAAGCACATCATTTTAGATGAAAGGCATTTTCCAGAGTACTAATGATACAAAGTAGACTTCCCCACCAGCCAATTCAGAATTTAAAATTATTTTTCCTAGTAGCCTCCACAGTAGAATATTACTTTGCAATGCACGAATCACACAACTAATATTAAAGTAGCATCCCCCTAAATCAGACTTGCAGGCTGATGCACTACATTTGGAGCTCTACAAGTACTTTCAGGACAGCACAGTAGAATGACCACAGATTGAAGCAGCTACATTTGATAAAGATGTGTGTGTTTCTGCTTGTTAACTTAGTTTTCACCCTCAACACTGTAAAGAAGTGGGGTTTTTTACCCTGCATTAGATCAGCTGAAGATACTGGCTACATTTTGGTTCTCCCCTAACTCAGGCTGGAACTTGCACGCTTTGTAGCAAGGATACAAACTAAATCACATCAGTGCTGGTGGTCCTCACATGTCCTTCCCACACATCTTCACAGAAATGCTTTTTTATACAACTGCAGAAATAAATTCTGGGGCACTTCAAGCACAACCCACCAGCAAAGCTGCAGCAGATACAGACAGACATTGCATACAACAGGGACAACAATACAGTGGATTTTTAAATGCCTTTTTCCCCACACAAGATCTATTTCAGCACTAAGAAGTTCAACTGCATTCTACAGAGTAGATCAGCCAGGGAGAAGACTTTAAGGTAGGGCAAAACATTTCGGCACGGTTATCTTTAGAGTCTAAGGTTTTTAACAGCTATACTCTAGTAGTAAAGAACCAAGCTAAATTACAAAGTATAAAACAAGCCTGATAAACTGTCAATGGTTCCTTTGGTGTTACCCAAGATCACTCCATATTCATTACAGCAGGGAGGAAGTGCACCAACAACCCTCAGGTGAAGTGTTATTAATAACTTGACATAGAATTGTCAGGATGTTTCATAAACACACAGAGCTCAGCCCAGCTATAGCACATGTGTATAGATCTGCAGTATATCTAGTAAAATTACTACCCTCAGTAAGATCTTAAATGCTTGCATTAAACCCACAACTAACCTGAATTCATGCTGATACAAGTACTGTTCAGCACAGGCAGTGACACATACTCAGCGGCGCAAACTGATACGTATCAACAAACCAGCTTTCACAAATCAGGATGACATTAGAAGCCATCAGCAGGCTAAGGGTGCTTTTACTGTTTCTCCTTCAGATTCTGCTCTCAGAGCTGATACCACCTTACTGTACCTGAAATGCATCCATCGCATCATAGTTTGGACTAAGCTGTCCTCTATCCTCACAAAATCCCATCCCACTGGCAGTCGTTTACATTAACCGTCTGTACATTCTTTTTCTACCCATGGGTTGAGGTAGAAAGGTACATTACATCCTTCCAAACCTACTAAACTTAAGCTGTAAACCTCTCCACAAGCAACACTAGGCTATGCATACAGAAAGATCCTGAGGAATTTTCAAAATTCAAATTTTCTTAAGGCCCATACTGTTTCAGATCCACTCCAGAGCTTGAATTTCACCTGCCTCACTGTTGTTTTTAGGTTTTTTTAATGTTTTGTTCTGCTTCAGTAACAGGCAGTGAACATTTGCCTCAGTTTCTTAGGAAAACTGCAGCACACAGGTTTCATTGCTTGTAGCAACTAAGCATTTACAGACAGACTTCTCAAGGAGTTTGACAGTGAATTTGTACTCCCTTGCCTAATATAATTTGTCTATATTTAATACTAGAGATACTGAAAGGACACACACACACACACACACACACCACTTTTCAGAAATAGTTTCAGACCTTTTAGCCCCATTTTTAGGAAGTTCAAACAAAATGACAAAAACTCCCCATCCTTGACAAACTTTAACATCCAGGATTACCAACTCTGACATTCTTAATTTTACTTATTCTTGTCCTCATCTACATCCCCTGCCCCCACAACCTTTATTGACAGTTTCTAATGAAAGAATTTGTTGAATCATACAACAACAGAGCAACAGCTGTTAATACCTCACCCTGAAACCATTTATAAGATTTAGACTGCAGGCTGCACAAGCTCTTGAGTATTTTCCTCTACCTCCTCTTAGGCTTCAGCTATCTACACCCCCATTTATTCCTGGTTTTCAGACACGAGTCTCAGAATTTACTAAGCAAGATCTGCAGACAAAAAAGGAATGTTCATTAAAAACTTACTGTGAACTACATTGAAGTCTAATGAACCAGCAAGCTGAGGCCCTGAATCAATTATCTTATCAATAGCAGATTTCTCCGATGTCGTACAAATCTAGGTAAAAGAAAATGAGTTAGTCTTCTGTAGAAATAAGTCCATGCAACTTAAAACCATTGAAAAAAATCTCAAATATTTCAGCCTCAAATCAGTCATATATTATAAGAAGATAGGAAGTAACCCATGCATTTAATCAGGACATTTGCACAGAAGAATTCACTGCAGTTTCTTAAATTTTTTTACTCCTGTTCCCACACAAAATTATGCACGCTCTACGAACAGTACTTAATCATAGAGGTATTTGACCAGTGAAGTCCATGGTATAACAGGTTTGCACTTTAAAACTTCCAAACTGAATGTTCAGCCACACAACTGGAACCGTTCTAGACACAGCTCCATTACAGTATCAGAGTAATGTGCTCTAGGTTAACTACTTTGGGTTGATGGGATATCAGAATATAAGCAGCCACTGCCTAAGAAATTCCAAATAGCAGCCACAAAAAGATTCCATCACTGTTTTAGATATGTTCCAATATAAACAAAAGACTTACAGAGAAGGAATTAAATCCAGATCAAATGACTAGCTGACTGTAAAAAGAAACTGTGAGAATGAAAGTAGAATGAAGATGAAACATTAAGGCAGCTCACAAGTTCTCATATGTAAACAGGAAAAAAACCCTAAGGAGACACGAGGAGCAGAAACAATAAAAATATGTTTCAAATAAAGTCCACTAACATTCTGTTTTCCATTATACTGAGGATTCAGTGAAAACTGAGCTGCCAGTGCTTAAATACAAAATTTAGGAAAATTTAGGAAAATCAATTTTGTTGCTTGTTCCCTACAAAGCAGGTGTTCACACACAGTAGTTATCTCACACCGGCTGACACAAAACCACCTCTGCATTGTACAGAGTGGAGAAAGTACAAAGGAGAGAAACGGCAGAATATGTCAACAAAGAAAACATTACAATTTCCATTAGTTCCAATCTCTGTTTCCACAGAAGAGTTGTTATCAACTTGCAACAAAGCCCCTGTTTTCAGGGACTATCAGCATTCGACCAAAATGAGAGATGTAATCCATACTTAAATACCTTGATGTCATCCTCAGTGATGTAGCCAGACTGCACGACCCACCACGCTTCTATAGTAATCTCCACAGGTTTCACAGGTAACAGATCATGAGCAGTTTTCCTTCTGAAAAATTTCTGCAGTGGTACAGTCCATTTGAGATAGTAATAAAGAGGACTTCATGTGTGCAGTCAGTCATTTACCTTTATATACTGATTTTTATAAACATCTACTTTTAAGTACATTATATTCACAGTCTGGACATACACACATACTATTAGTCTTGTTATTTAGTAAAAGTGTCTTTCCTCTCTAAAATCACATGAAAATGGGAAGGAAAAAAAATATTACATATCTGATACTGTTAAGTCTTTCCATAAACCCCTACTTTCATCGATATGGTATGTGTAACTAATTAAACATCACCCTGTGTTTAAATTATTAACAACATTTTCTAATGTGAACAGGTAAAAAAGCACAGCAAACAAAGTAGGCAAATGGGGTATTTTAAAGAAGTTCAATGATTAAAAAAAAAAAAAAAAACCACAAAACCAAAATACATATTAGGAACACTTGTTATTTACTTTAAAAGACAAAGAATCCCACATTCTCAAGGAGAATGGTGCACAAAAAAAAAAAGTACCATGAATATAAGTCCAAGAAAGAAAAACTGGAGGGTAATGTTTATCTATGGACTTAAACAGCTTCTCTTCCATTGTATAGCCATTATTTTCGGTTCACTCTATCAGATTCATATTTTGGAAACCACACTTTTGGTTGAAGTAGCATTGGGAAGCACTTGGGATTTTCCTGAAGCAAAAAAGAAACTGTTGCAAACTAAACGTCCTACTCCTGTCACCAGTCAGTACAATGTTTTCCACATGTGCCATTCACATGCAAGGACATCTGCTCAGACTCATCACTGAATCAACTCTCATGTCCCCTTCACCTATAGAAACATGGAATAATTCTTCCAGACAGTATTGTTACTCCATGTTTATACTGATCAGGAGACAGTTTTCCAATGTAAATTATTTGAAAATACAAGTTTGGGGGGAAAAAAACCAACAACAACAAAAAAAACTTGCCTAGAACTGAATCTTTTTCTCTAGTATACTTTGATTCTAAATTAAAAAGCTTTTTATTAACTTCAGAAATCACAATATAATCAGCAATACACTGTGTCACACTCAACTAGCCACACTAATAAACTAACTAGTCTTATGAACTTATTCTATCCTCCATTTCCTATGAACTGATACAAAAGGGAGGCGAAAGGAAAGGGAAGGGAAATCTGAAGACAAACTTACTTTTGAAGACCTACATTGGTTCATTAGATCTATATACTGGTTTCTTCCTATACCAAGAAGTCTTAGACCTGAAAAATAAACAAGGTTTTGTTTCTCTTAAGATCAGTTTAAGATGAAGATACATAAAACATTCTTCAAGGAATCATACCTACTTCTATACAAATATTTTTAGTCACTCTTTCTTCCCAAAACAAAAGGACAGTTACGGGAGCTAAATTTGTTTCTAATTGAATTTGACAGAGAGCCATGTGCACTTAAAAACAGAATCCATCCCCATTCATTCACTCTGTATAGGTAAAAAAAAATATTACATATATCCCATATGACTCAAGTCATACAGTAGCAGGGAACAATTAAACCCTTTTCTCTCCTACACTCACATCAACAGGTAATAACTATACTTCAAACTAACAGGATTAAAGTTGTATCAAATTTTGGTCAATAGTTTTTCTTCTCCTAACAAAGCCCACATCACACACTGGGTTAGAATTCTAAACTAAGAATTAGAGCACGAAAGACCACATAAGAATCTAAGGAAGTTGATTAAGATATAGTTGAGTTAAGCAGAATCAAAATTTAATTCTATAATCTTTAGCCTTCAACCACTAACTATGAAGAGATACCAGAAAACTACTCATTAGGTTTAACCTACATTCAGACTTAGTTTTAACTCCAACCTTCTAGTCTGACATTAGTTTTCAATAAGAAAATATTGATAAAGATGTTTAACTTGACTGTACCATAGCCACTGATGGAAACCCAGAACTGCTTAGGGGAAACAAACAAAAGAACAAAACACAAAAACAACCAGGGAAGCCCTTCCTCTCTTCCTATTCCTAACTAATTCAGATTTCCAACAACTTGCAAGAGCACCAAGGAAACAAGTTCTCCTTATCTCATTCCCCAGTGAGAACATTATACAAAGACAAATTAGTAGAGTTAACCGACAATATCCTTTAACAAACAAACAAAGCCAACTGTTTTCAAAAGCTGCAGGCTGCCCCACACCTGGCTAAGTATTATCCTTAAAGAGAACCTTATAAATTCATCCCAACTGGGAGAAAGGAAGTCTTTAGCTATAACTAACTTCTGTGTCAGGTTTGATCAACACCCTCCATATGGCAGCAGTTTACATTTTGCCCTGCAAGACTTATCAGCAGGCTCTTACTCTGTTCTCCCCCACCAGGTTCAACATCTTTGCTTTCCTCATCTCCCCACTGCACACTCACAACAGTCTAACCGCAAGCGGGATAAAACATAAGGCACATCCAGAAGTGTTGTAACATACCAGATTCTCTTCTCTCTCTCTTTTCTGGTACATCAGCCCTGAAGCCACACTGCTGCTAATGCTCAGGAGCATCAAGAACCTTTCCGCGTCTCGCCACAGCTTTCTGCCTGACATCTCCCAAAAAACATGCTAGGGAAGGACCAGCAGCTCACCTGCTCACAACAGCCAGTAAGACTTTCATAGAATCATAGAATGGCCTAGGCTGGAAGGGACCTCAGAGATCATTTTAATCCAACCTCCCTGTCGCCAGCGACGCCACCTCTCGACTAGATCAGGCAACACATGGGGACTGAACTGGAAACGAACCCACGACCTTAGCGTCGTTAGCGCCACGCTCAACTGACTGAGCTAACCGGCCACCCAGAAGTCCAGGCAAACAGGAACGCAACGTAAGTAAGGATGGAAGCTGCACGAGAGCTTGCATGCGCCTGCCTGTGCTCAAACCAGCCCAATTCCAGCGCTGACCATCCAGACAGAACTCTGCACAGGGAGCCACAATATCACTATTTAAATGCTTCTATACTTTCATTCACATGCTTATGTTCAAGCAAACAGATGCCCACAAATCTATTCTCAGAAGTTCCTTATTTCCAGCCCTCTGAAAGAAGTAATGCAACGAGGTAATACTCACAGTCAGCAGCGGTGAAGTTGGGTAATGAATCGTAGCTTTTTTCACTGTTCATTATATCCTTGAAAAGACCAAAAAAAGACCCCAAAAAAACCCACCTTAGTTGCAAGAAGCAAGTTATTGTTTCAGAGAAGCATATTCTAAAATCTGCCTGCCTTTCTTTCTTAAAGAACAAAATGAAATTAAATCTATTAAAGTCAGTTAGCTCATCAAACTTGCCAACTGATTGATTAATCATTACACAATAAATACATGAGACTTCTGTTTAATGTAAGCTCTACAAAGAAAAATGCTAATTGAAAGAATAATAAACAAAATAATATATCTGTCGTCACAAAAAAAACTGGACACAGATTAGCTAACAGTAATAACAGTATAAGCTAACACAATTAATCCATTATGTCTGCAATCACTACATACAAAATTAAGAAAAGCACTTCTGATATCCAATGAAAATAAAAGGCTGCCAGAGTGCTGACAGAAAACAGAGCCATCTTTGTTCTCAGAAAAAAAGGATCTGCTTCAAGCTTTTGAAAAATCTTCTAATATGGTTAAGTGCCCTTTCCAAAAAAGAACAAAAAAGAATTCAAATATGCTGGCTTCTTTTTGTGTGTGTGTGTTAATGATAATTCTCTTTGTTATCTAACAGAATGAGGTATTTCTTTCACAGTTTGAAGTGAAGAGCCATAAATCTCAAACATCAGGAGAGAAAGGCTGGCCTCAGGGTGAGCCCCACTCCAGCTCCACATGACAAAGTCCAGCTCTTGGAAGGCTGATGGGAGCAGAGGGAAAAAAACTGCAGCTACAAGTAGTTCTCTAGAAACCTTCCATACGATTTCCTCTTGTTAGCACAACCTACCAAACAAACCACATGACAGTGCCTCGTATTCATCACAGGGCCACTACCAACATCCCTAGGGCAGAAAACAACATATTCTCACCACCGTTTTGTACTCACCTCCATTATGCTCGTGTAATAGGAAAATGGTGTCACCCTCAGACCTTTTACCATGATGTCAGACAAATGGTAAGGGTACAACATGAGATGATCTCGACTGTATTTTAAGAGATCCTCATAGTATTTACGTTCATCTTTCTTGACATGCTTAACTACAGGGAGAGAGAAAAAATTACACTGTTCTATAATGTTCAATTTTTTAAAAAAAAGGTGTTACAATAACAGGATTAAAAATAGTGTAGTAGCAATTGACAGAAAAGTAAAAACTAAAGGAGTGGTGCAGGGCATTGAATATCCAAGAATTTCTACACGGGATACAAGTACTCTCAGAGAATTAGGGATGGCATTAGAAGAAAGCAGATTTTTTTTTTTACAGGTTATCAGAAAGTGACCCATTGAGACAGAACTCATGCAGGCTTCAGAAAATTATCTGTTAATTAGTGAAACTATTAGTGAAACTTATTAGTGAAATTATTAGTGAAACTTTGGGAAGACAAATGGATGCAGTCAATGCAAAATATACTGAAAGTCTGTAAACAAGTCATAGCCAATAGCTCATGTGAGTCAGGGCCACTGTCTGTACCTCATCTGGTGACAGGCTTTATTTTATTAGTCAAATCCTCTCTTAACATCTCTTAATTTCTTGGAAAAGGGCAGCATAACTACAGCATGAATTCAGTTTCACTTGTCAAATCAGCAATCTTAAAGAGTGCTTCACTAGAAAAGCTGCCAAACAAACTTAAAAGTCGATACTTTTCTTGATGTTTTATCACTTCCAGGGAAGGAAGAACCTTTGAATAGGGCTACTTCTTGCAGTTTTGCTATGAAGACAAGCTCCCATCCAGAAAAATCACGTAGCAATTAAAAGTTCTGTAGCTTCTTTACTCACCTAGGTTAGTCCGGTATCGTAACTGATTGCGGATGCTGTAGAGTACGACCTGCCTGTCATATTCCCTCTGAGAATTTCCAAGACCCTTGAAAACACAAAGGCTTGTTAGCTGACATGCACAAAACTAACCTTTTACTTAAACCAGTGCAAAGCGTCCTATGAGGAAACATGCAGGGAGTTGTCAGTACTCAGGGAGTCCCCCAGTCCAACGTAGTGGTAGTATCTTTAATCTCTGTACAAGGGCAAAACTATTTTTAGTTACATAGCTCTCTCTACACAGGACGTGGAGGTAAGCATTAATCTTTAGATTTTTCTTCCTCGTACCATTCTGATCAAAAAGGAGCATCTAATTCTCAAATCAAAGGTTTTAAGGCATCTTTTAGAAGACATGAAGCACCAAGTATTCAGTGACTTGCAGCCTTGAAGAATTACCCAGATTTAGTATAGCAGAAACTAAGCATAGTGAATGACATCTGAAGCTTCAATTGCTGCACCTAAGAAGCTTAAAATGAAAAAAATAAATAATGAAACAGCTTCAAGTTGTAGCTTCCCATGAATAAAGCAATCAAGTGATCTTAGGTCACAGGATCAAGGCATAAGCACGACATGTTATTCGACTACCATGAAAGAAGACAAAAAGAGAACTTTGGTTGATGTTTTAAAAGCCTTATTTAAAAATCTGTCCCCTCAAAATTTTTCAGATTACTATTCTACTCTGAATACCCAGCAAGACATCTGTTTGGGTTTTTTCTTTTCCTCTCCTGCTTGCTTCCTTATGCTTATATTAAGAAAGATCCTTAGATAAAAATGTATTTTACTGTATATATGGGATAAACAAGTTAAGTTGCACACGTACTGCAGAATCAAGTATTACCAAATCACTAATATCACAGATGGGGTCCATAATCGATTAAATAACCAGAGAGGGATCCAAGTATTTGCTCCAAGTACAAAAATATTATGGACTATTCTAACACAACACAGTATTCCATAAGTTACATTAAAGTAAATAATGCATTAAGTACTGGTATATTTTCTACCCTGAATCACTCAGCCAACTGTATGGCACTCAGCTGGGCAGGTAATCCTCATTCATGCCCCTCTTACAGCTCCTGCAGTCTCAAACTCAAGGAATTCAGT